CTCGCAAACCCTTCGACGGCATGAGACATTCATTTGGTCAACTGATGTACTACCGTGATAAGCGGGTATCTAAACGCACCCTAGAGCCTAACATGTCCCCATGTTTGTTCTTAGGTTGGCGAATAGACGCGGGCTTTCGGTATCGCTATGTGGTTCGTGTTCTTGACTACATGGACTACAAAGTTAGTGAACACGTCAACGTCCAAGAAGTCCCCGAAGCTGAGATTTATGTTGAAGATGGTCCTCCATGTTTTCCAATGGCCTCTGTTAAGTTAGCGCACCTGAAAGGGGGTTCCTTAGGAGTCCTCGACGATCTTGCACGTCTTGACATGCCGGATATCCCCATGAAGGAAATCCCTTTTGGATTGGAGGGAACCGATGCCGTCCCACCAACTCCCATGGACCCTAAAACCAGCTGGGTGTATATCACTTTGGATCGCATCATTCGGTTTAGCGAAACCCCAGGGTGCAAAGCGTGCGAGAAGAAAACGCGATATCACACGCCTGCATGTAGGAAACGCTTTGCCAAACTGGTTGACGAGGAGAGACGCGACCTTCTTACCAAAAGGAAGGAAGGCATCACCGTGGAGGAAATTCCACCGCGGGAGCCCGAGACCGCACCTCCGACGGATTCATCCGAGGACGTCGCCGAGGATGAGTCACACATCATCGATGCGACTCCGACTGTGATATCGGGGCTATCGCTCTCGCCACATACCACATACAGGACACAACTCATTCACACTCGCCCAGAGAGTGGAGTCCCGGTGTTTGGCGTGCCATCAACAGCACAATCAGCTCAAGTTTCTAAGTTTAAGAAGAGAAAGAAGAAGAAACCGCGTAAGGCGCGGCCTGGCCGATGCATGTTCGAGTTTGCATGTGCCTCGGATTCGCAAATGCACGAGACTTTTCTGGAGATGGGAATTCCCCACATTGCCCTTTCGAAAGAGCACCTCGACCTAGACGATCCCCAAATGCAAGCACAGTTGCATCACCATATAAGCACCTGTGATGAGATTCCTGATTTATGGGCCTCAATCCCTTGCGCATCAGGGTCCCCTTGGCAAAGGGTAAATCGCATGAAAGGGGGGCTTAACTTCATAAAAAGGCATGCACTCCAGGTTAAGGAGTCTAAACGTTTATTTGCCGAATTCGCCAAGTCTGCAGAGCTCACGTTAGCTCGGGAAGGCACTGTCACTTTCGAGTGGCCTAAAGAGTGTGAGAGTTGGCAACGCACAGACGTAAAACATTTCTTTGATAGCCACCCCGAATTTATTCCAGTCGAATTTGACAGGTGCGCTGTTGGTGTGAAATCCACTAAAGGCAGACCCATTAAAAAGAGGTGGCGCCTGATGACCACCAGCAGGGCTATCGTGGACACGTTCTCCCAGTTCCAATGCGCCCATAACCCCCACGAACATGACCAAGCGGTCGGGTCGCAGACAGCTCGTACTGCATTTTACCCAAGGCAGATGACTGTCCAAATTGCGAAGGCCCTTTACCCTAGCATGTCTTTTTCCCATCATGCCCCAGCCATGCCATGTTTGTCATGTACCCATGAACATGAGCACCAGGACAAAGAGCAGACGCTGAAACACGTGTCAGCCTTGTCGGGAATCGACGCTATGGCCATCGCAGTTGAGACAGATGACACTGTCGACCAGATGGTTGAATGTTTAATGGATATCAGTGCTCTCATGCACGAGGCCTGCCAGATCCCAAAGACCGAGGAAGGTAAAGATCAGGTAGCAGCTTTGGTCACCAAGCTCCTAAGCCGCACCGAGATGCTCAGCGATCCTGAAGCCTTGCAAAAGGTTAAGGACGAGGCAGCCGATTTGGTTAACGAAGGTACTTGGGAGTATGAATCCGTTAGGGAGAAGGAGCACGTCCGTGCTGAAGCTAAGGCTTCCGGCGTCTCCGTCCATTTCGGTAAACTATAATGACCATAGCATCCATTAAATTTTACGAGTTGGCAAAAAAAGAAAGGTAGAATTGTCTACCGAGGTGACTGCGCAAAGGACGAACATGGCGCAGCAGCCGTCTATGAGGAATTAGGCGCAAATCCGACTTCGGTCCAAGGGCTGAACGCTTGCCTCGCGTACGGGTCACTACCTGGTAACCTGTGCACCGCCGCGGATGCGGTGAAAGCATATGTCCAAGCAACACTAAAATCCAAGTATAAAACTTGGGTCGAACTACCACCTGAACTTCGACCCGCATGGTGGAAGAACAAATTCGTTCAACCAGTGGTCCTTCTTGTCAAAGCGCTGTACGGACACCCCGACGCTGGAGGGATGTGGGAACAGCATTTGAAGGGCATTCTTAAGAAAATGGGTGGCGAAGAGATCCCAGAGTTCCCCGGTAACTTCTGGTTTTCTGGTCCTCGTTTAATGTTATCTACATACGTTGACGACCTCACTTTGGCAGGTCCACGAAAACACCACCAAAAGTTTTGGTCAGAACTCACGAATGTTGTTAACGTTGAACCACCCGAGCCTATTTACAGAATGCTAGGAAGGAACCACATCTACGCGGTAGTCCCCGATTCAGGAAACACCGAAACCGCTGCTTTGCGCGGTAGTGCTGACGCCCTAATCTTCGACATGAAGGATTACGCGCAGCAAACCATCGACCTCTACAAGTCGGTGGCCGGTGTTGAAAAGATAAAGTCAGCCCAGACGCCATTTCTCGCAGACGGCACATTCACCACAGCTGATGAGGAGTCGCCCGGAGAGCTCGCACCAAAAGCGTGTTCTATCCTGATGAAAGCCCTATGGCTTGCCAGGTTAGCACGACCCGACATCCTTAAACCGATCAACGATCTAGCCACTAAAGTACAAAAGTGGACCCGTGTGCACGACAAAAAGTTGCTACGGCTAATACAGTACATTCAACACTCGCTAGACTATAGGTTAACCGCCGTCTGCGGTGATGATCCTAGTGAGCTGTGGCTAGAGCTGTTCGTGGATGCCGATTTTGGTGGCGACCAACATGACGTGAAGTCCACCTCCGGTGGGTACTTAGTACTCAAGGGCCCTAACACCCATTATCCACTAGCATGGGTGTCAAAACGCCAGACCTCCACGTCAAGGTCCACTACAGAATCGGAAGTAGTAAGCTTGGCCTATTCGTTGTATCAAGAAGGTCTCCCTTCGTTGCAACTATGGGATAAACTTCTTGGACGAGCCGTTAACCTCGTCATACAAGAAGACAATCAAGCCACGATTCTGGTAGTAAGAAAGGGTTTTTCCCCAAAGCTCCGACACATCAGCCGAACCCACAAGATAAACCTCAGTTCATTAAAGGAATGCATCGACGACCCATCTGTCGAGATTAAGTACATCGATACGAATGAACAAGCTGCAGACATTTTCACCAAAGCGTTGCCACCACAAAAGTGGTTCAAAGCGCTATGCTTGCTTGGCATCCGTACAGATTTAAAGTGCTTAGTCCCATCTAAGACAGATAGGAGCCTTCCGAGCAGTTCGAAGCCTTCGTAGGTCGTCGAAACCGCTGCCACCCGGCGCGGTAATTCATGCATGTACAAAGGATTGCTGCCCCAAGACGGGGAGGGGGGAGTCATTTTCTGTGAACCCCTACTATGTAACGGCTATTCACTACTTGTACATGTCCATCTATTTAGCTACGGTTCACTAAGGCATGTGAAACACATGCTTCGACCGTCGCTCTTGGCTCAAGGAAACAAGTGCACCCGCGCTGTTTCCTTGCAGGGCGCCGTGCTCTCCTGACCTGTGGTCGGGGACACTTTCGTCGCACTCGTGCTTCCGCGCCTTTCGCACTTTCGTTCGTTCGATTGCTCGCCCGCTCTCGTTCGTTCGGCACCTTGCAACCACGGGTTCTCGTCCTTCGGACTCGCCCAGGGTTGTAATTAATATAGACCGTGCATCTAGGGACTTAGCTTATTTCTTTTACCACCTCCCAGTGGATAGGATAAGCTGGGCGTTCCCCTACGTCCCACCCGGATTGTACACTCAATTAAGCAGGACATACCTGAAAAGAAACTATAATTACGCTGGGCACCAGGGACAAACCAAAACTGGGGAGAGCGCCAGCAAAAGCTTGCGAAATCAGTTCCGTCCGCCAAAGCTTGCTAACGTGTTTTTGCTCAGAATTTCCAAAACGCAAGTCGCGAAAGTGTTGCAAAAGGAACTTGCGAAAGAAGAATTCCCGATAGGTTTTGAACAATGCTCACATGATCTCACATGTCTGTGCAATCTGCGCATGCTTTCCCATACGTCCCCTAATTGTAACTTACATTTTCTTAATAATGTAACTTACGTGTCTGTTGAGGTCATTTCAGGCATGTTGGCACCTGGAAAATGTAATATTACATTTTCTACGTCTTGCCAGGAAAATGTTAGATTACATTTTCCAGGTGCCAACCTATGGAAAATGTAAGTTACAATGAAAAGGTCCCCCCCCATCATGGGGGTGGGGATGATTGAACCACCTTGCTCATATTTGCAACATGTCCTCATTCTGTTGATTTGGTAGATTTTGTGCCATGTTTGGTTTGCTCTCATGAATGAAAAAGGTCCCATAGGTATCTATAGGTGATGATTTGTGTTTGTTAGCAAGCGGGCTATGATGAGTGCGAGCTCCCTCTACTGATGATGCATGAGGATAGTGCTCGTTCCGGAATCATCATACTTGGCTGATTCCCGTTGTGACATGTGCGCCCATGCGAGTTGCTCCTGCATGGAAGACACGTTCTTACAGTAGTACTATCTGCCAGTGGGGCATGACATGATGATTGCGAGCTCCCTCTACTGATGATACATGAGGATAGTGCTCGTTCCGGAATCATTTATACTTCGCTGATTTTGCTGGTGTTGTTTTCAAGGTCTCTTTGCTGTTGTCGGATTGACCCTTTTTGATAGCCATGACCATGACCTTGATGCACCAAAATCAATGCACCTAAATGAACAATAATGAAACGCTCCCACAGATCCAATTGCATGAAAAAGCAGCCGCAATAGGCTTGAGATTGAGAAGCGAGCGGCGGAAGAGAAGGAGCGTCGAAGGCAGCTGCAATGATGCGAGCTTGGAACATTCAGTCACTTCGAGCCTACTTCGCAAGGCCTTTCAACGTCCGCCTTAAGACATTTTGGAAGGGATGTGATAGCTCATGGAGAGAGTTTGCAAGGACAATGATGTCGGCAGGAGATAGCCATAGCCATAGCTGCCTGGCTAAATTTTGAAACAACAGGCGCAGAGCTGAGCAAGCACCACAAGAGCTGGCAATGGCTCTGGAGGCAATAGAAGCTGAGACCGCAGAGACTGAGTCAGTTGGTCACTTCTGAACCGTTTTTAGCCTAAAGGCTGTTCACATGGAGTTGCAAGCAACTCTACTATACCGTACCGTGTTGTTTGATGTTTTTTTGAATTTGTGTTTCTTGAATGGGATGTCTTGTCTTGTAATAGACTTTCCACGCTTCAAGACAGTGACCTGTAATTGATGTACGATTTGCAATAATTTTTTCAAGCTGTTGTGGGCTGCCTTGTTGCAAGGCAGGTGACGAAGATGCCCTCCGTGCATTGCTGGTGGAGGTGGTGACGGCTAGTTTTCTTACTCATGACTCAAAACATAAAAGCACATTGCAGCGGCATCTGGGAAGCAGATGCGAATAGCGTTTGCAACCTCAGCTTCTTCTTTGATATCATGTCGAACGTGCAAATATACTACAACACGGTATATACCGACGGACCGATTCTAACTGAAACCTGCATTTTTTACAGGGTTTTTGAACTTGGGTCTTTGATATGTCCTAAAACAGATACAACAGCGTTAGCAACATTTGTCGAACCCTGTTTTTTACTGGATTTATGCATGTAAATGCTATTTCCTGCCCTGATCCAGCTGCCTATTATCTTGCTTTTATATTTGTTTCCTGTTCAACTGTTCCCTTTTCTTTGCCTTTCCCTGTTCTTCTGTTTCCTTTCCTCGTTTCCTTTTCTGTTTCCTTTCCCCTTCCTTCTCCTTTCTGCTACCATGTCCCGTTCTTAGCAATCTTGTTTTTTCCTTGTTTCTCTTCCTTTGTCCTTTCCTTTCGCCTTTTTCTACCATTGTTTCCTGTTCCTGTTCCTCTTCCTTGTCCTTCTGTGTGTCTATTCGGCATGTTTGCAGTTTGCAGCATGCAAAGGCTGGGCGCATATGTTGTTTTCAAATCTATGCATGTATGCACAGACTGACAGTTAGAATGCCTGTTTTGATCCCAAAAATTGCAGCAAGGAAGGGTGGAGGAGAAACGATGGCAGGAAAATTGGACATTCTATCCTTTTCATTGTTCCATGTGCCTTTCCTCTTTCCTTTTCCTGTCCTCTTGCCTTCCTTTTCCTGTCTCATTGTTCTTGACATTTCCTACATTCGTGTTTCTATTTGTATTCTGTTCCTTTTTCTGTTCCTCTTTTCTTTGTTTTGTGTCCATTCCTTTTTTCCTTTTCTGTTTCCTTTCCCCCGCCTTCTCCTTTCTGCTGCCATGTCCCATTCTTAGCAATTTTGTCCTTTTCCTGTTCCTCTTCCTTGTGCTTTCCATTTCCTTTTTCTGCCATTGTTTCCTCTTCCTTTTTCCTCCTCCTTGTCCTGTCCTTTTGCTTGTCTATTCTGTAGGTTTGCAGTTTGCAACATGCAAAGGCTGGGCACATTTGCTGTTTCCAAATCTATGCATGTATACACACACTCACAGACTGACAGTTAGAATGCCTGTTTTGATCGCAAAAATTGCAACACGGAAGGGAGGGAGGAGAAACAATGACATGGAAATTAGACATTCTATCTTCAGATTTGTCAACATTCACACTCTTGACCTAGCATTCTAACTGTTAAGACCTAGCAGTCTAACTGTTCACAGCTCTTGACTGAAAAATCCTGGGTGTAGCATTCTATCTTACTATGGAACATTTTGAAAAGCGAGGCATTCTATTTTACAGTCCGTAGGTATAGTGAGCATTTCCTGGACAGCAACAGACCGAGACCCACCTTATGCACAAAATCCGTCACCGAACCTTTACACGGCGCATACACAACAGGATTCACTGCATTTGTGCATGCTACTTGACAGGCAGAGTTGGCTTCGTCAGATGCACAAGCGGCGGAAGGCTTTCTCGCAGAGCCCAAGCCTCACCATTTGTTGTAGTATTGGCATTCTATCCTTGAACAATCTTTTTTGAAATCACATTTTTTGTAGTTGAACAATGCAGATAATTCCACATACGTTTTGGCAGAATTACCTGAACAATGGATTTGGTATGAATTGGTCAAATTGTATTATCAATTGGATATATATTTATATAGCCATATATAATATGGTTTTGTTCTCCACAGATTCGACATTGTCAGGTGTGAAGAAAAAAGGCGTAGGGCCGAGCGTGACGGAGCTTTGCTGGAGTGATCAACTAAGAGCTCGATAGTTTTGGCAGCAATGGACTTGCGCAGTCATGAGTTAGTCAAAGGAGTATGCAAGGTAAATATAAGGAATACACATCTCTACAGTTCCTCATCAGCTTGTGAAGCTAAGAGACAGTCAATCTGAGGTTTTGCTTCGCAAACTTGGACAGACGTGTAGAGATGCTCAGTGTGACAGCGATTGTCAGATATGGTTTTTGTCAAGTAAGAAGAGGAACAGTTGCCTTTTTGCCAAGTGACCACATGTTGGCCCGTGCCAGTCAGCAGCTTGCTCTCATTTTCGGTCGCAATGTAATCAGCCAAAATTAATGAATTATTTTAGTCCTCCCCTCACACAACCGTTTCTGACATCACTACAGTTATATGATGTTACTGTATATGTTTGCAGAGCAACGTGAGTGTTTCAATTCAATGGAATTGGCCATTTGATAGATTTGCTAGCCCATGCAATTTTCCTAATGTCTTTGGGCTTGGCAATACAGTTGGAGTCCAAGGCTTTCTTCCAGGCATCTGTCACGCTGGTGGCTTTCTTCACCGACCAGTGAGCCAGTATACGTGTGGTTGCGATGCTGCGCTCTTATTGCTTCCTTCTTTTCCTGTGCTCAAGGATCTGTTTGCTTCTGAGCGGTCAGGATCACGAGAGTTGAAACTCTACAACGCAGGTACTTGATGCATGAGGGGAGCGACTTCAAGCTGAAGGCAGAGAGGATCCTCGTTGCATTCCGCGAGTCCGGAGGATGAGTACTGTACAGTGAGTACAGAATATTCCATTGATAGCCCTGATGGCCTTGCCACCCCCAACCAGCCATCCTTCAGGTCCATACCGCACTGCTCGTAAAACAGACACAAAGCCGATTAATTAAAGTCACTCATTGCAGGTGGTGAACGCAGCCCACTCCGTACTGGTGGCATTTCGCAGCAAAGAATACGCCGAGGTGAGAAAGCTTTTTGAAAGGACATAAATGTGGAGATCAGCTGAGCTTGAAGGCACTGACAGTTGATAAGTAGTTGAAATTTAGATGAGATTACAAGCATTGATTTAATATCATAACTTGTTGTCCTATGATTTGACCCAACTGCTGGCCTGTTCTGCAACTCCCATTTTGCAATGGATCAGGCAGTGAAAGCAACAGCTGTGGCACTTGCCCAACAGTGCCAGACCTTAGCGGAGGATTTGTGTATATTCTTGACATTTCTCGACTTCATTCATTGGCCTTTTTGACTCATTACGTAAGCCAGCCGATAGGCTAGGCTTGAGCTCTTAGACCGAACGAAGTGAGTTAAGGGGATGGGGGGGGGGTAGGCCGCGAAAAGGCACCATTTGAGAGGGTGAACCCGGAGCTTGGCTGGGGAGAGCGCTCCAAAGCGAGGGTCAGAAAAGCAGTGAAAATGGGGTCTGGTGATGCGAGTGATGCAATGGACGCCGAGTAATGCATCATTAGCATCACGAAGGGCTGTGGAGGCTATTTGGACAATGGGCATTGAGCACTGGAGTGGAGACAGGCACCCATGTAACATGTACAGAGCAACCATCCTAGTCTCTACTATACCTGCACCGTTGAGCGGATGCTTCTCGCGGCGTCCACATGCACCGAACGTTGTTCCGGCTTGGCCGCGCAGCTAGATAGATACAGAATAGATAGATAGATCAATAGATAGATAGATACTGGCTGTATGTATTGGCGCAAGTATGGTTGTTGGCTTGGCAGCGACAAGTCACTATCAGAACAGGGGCCCGTGTAGATAGCAACTTGGTGGCGTGAAGAATTTGCTGCTTAAGGATTGGTTATAGTCGTGGATCTATGCCATAGTTTTAGATCATGGTTGGTGACAGCAATGCTGAGACATAAAGTTCCTGCCATCCTCCTAGTCATCCTGTCAGAGAAGTCTCCTTGGATGTATTGGGGGGTTGGCAGCGACAAGTGCTATCGTGTCTCTATGTCTCTATGGTTCTGTGTCTCTATGTCTCTGGGAAGAGGGTGTAGCTGGATCAGTGGCATAAGCCCAAGGAAAGTCCCCAACAGCAAGAAGCGCCACTGAAACAGTCTCTTCGCTGTCCAAGCCCTCCTCTGGAGCCTTGTCTGCTTTGGAACCTGCTCCGGAACCTTCTCCAGAACCTCCTCATGGACCTGCCCCGCAACCTTCTCCCGAACCTTTTGCAATGTAGCAAATGACCCTCTCGTCTGGTGGCTGCTGGCTTTCGTTCCCCCCATTCTCAGGTATAATATATTGTAATACAATTGACTCAGTGAATTGTAGCTCTTTTTGTTTGACCAAAGCTTGGCCAGGAGCAGAACTGTGTTGGAATCTGTTGGCAATGCCAAAATCATCTTTAAAACGATATCCACAGGGCCAGGAAAGGCTCTAAGCAAACAACTTTGCGCTTGACCTTAGTGATGCTGGATCAATCAAAGCTTGCAACTCTGAAGACGACATCTTTGTCATCAAAGGATTCCCGTTTTCCTTTGCTTGATCAACTGGAGGTCTATCTCTCTAGCCGAAAGTGCTGCAGGGAGCCCCGGCCCACCTTCCCCGACAACATTCAAGCCTGGTTTTTTTGGACAGTCTGCTTAATTACTTCGATCATGATTGTTTGTAAAGGATAGAATAGCTCCAAATTGCTTCTTTGGCCTCTTGGAAAGAAATCTCGACGAGGTCGTGGCAGAAGCCTCCATCAGAGGTGCTGTGGACTTCAGCTCTCAGGCGGAGGAACTGCTGGTGAGTGTTCGCCAAGACGCAGAGGCCCTGAGAGAGCTACTGCTGTGATGAAGAGTGTCAGTGTCTACAGAGTCGTGACACATGTTCAATGTTCTTTTTTCAGAGGCAAACGGAAGGGTAGTGCGCAGAAAGAGTTTGCAAAAACCTATTCTACTAACATCGTGGAAGGCGCGGGACATTCGTGGAACCGGGGGCTATTCGTGGACGTTTCGTGGAATGGTGGGCCAGTAGGAAAACTGACTGCAACAAAATCCCAGAAACCTTCGTAGAACTGCGTAGAAACTATTTTTGATGCACTAACTTCGTATATGCGATTTGGGCTGACCCCGTTTCTCCACACACCATTCGTTGAGCCTTCACTACTATATTGCTTTGGCAAGAAGATTTGTCAAGAGTTGAGAACGAGAAGTCATCACTGAACGTTTGGAGATGTTCAACTGGAAGGTTTTTGGAGTGTTTGAGGCGTGTATGAACTCAATGTGATGTGACTTGCAGGCCCTGAAATCTCGGCCTGCGCGGCCTGAGTTCTGCTTGGCATGTTTGTGACCTTATCCGATATTTGTCTTGTTTTGGCGCATCTTGTCAGGGCATTTTTCTTGTACCTGGATGCCTAGTTTGCATTACAGCGCAGAGCTTGATGCAGCACACAGCGTGATCTACATTTGCGTGTGCTAGATATTTTTGTATCATTGCATGAAAGCAGCCAGGTGTGATGAAGCTATTCAGGCCGCAGCGGCTCGTTCTAGGGGTGAAGGAAGGCAGCTGTCGTGCAAAGCGCTGGAAACCAAGATTCTGTCATCGCTTGGCCTGCTGCCAGAATTTATTCTACGTTGCTAAAGGAGAGAATGAGAGAACCTTAGTCTAAACATAATAATCAGGAATACATAGCATATGTATTTGAACGTTCAAGGTTTTCTCGTCCACAAAGTGTTTAAACATGTTTAAACTCAAAACGACACTTATAAATACTATTTTCCGTTTCTGTTTTTCCACGAAAGCACCTGCGAAGGGTTCTCCGTAAAGAACGGCTGCCAACTTCAACTGTTCCACCACGGCCGCCGCCACCACCACCAGCGTCATCGTCATCGTCATCAGCATCAAGGTGTAGAGATGCAGGTGATTGATGCAACTGATACAACACAACCTCATCATCATCATCTTCTTATTCTGATGTTTATTGTTCTTACTGTATTTTTATTTTTTTTTCATCATCTGCATCATCATCATCAGCACCAGCAGCAGCACAAGCAGCATCAGCAGCATCATCAAGGTGTAGAGACGCAGGTGAGATATACAGGTGCGTAGACACACGTGCAGAGAGACAGGTGTTGAGCTACAAAGCCCACCTATATAACTACAACTTCGACATTTTTCTACTCTTCCTTTAAGGCGGCGGGCTGGTCCGGCCGATGTTTACCAAGCGAGTCCCTCTGCGGAGATTGTGCGAGTCAGATGCTTGAAGCTGTGGTAATATGCCTGCGAATCGTCTATGGCGCCCCTCTGCAGAGATCGTGCGTGTTGAGTGCTCGAACGTGATGTGAAGTGCAAATTGAATTCTGAATGTGTCCTAGCAAGTCTGGGACGCTGGTTACTCGAGTCTCGGGTGGAAAGGCTGAAATTCAACGAGTCGGTGGCAATGTACCATGAACCTTGCCAACAACCCGACCTGAGTGGTCCATTCGGCCCAACGGGCCTGTTTGCGAGCAAGTTGGAAATGGCCAAATATGGCCAAAATGCGTGTGTCGTCAGAAATCCACAGAGTGCTGCGCCTGCAGTGAAATCTGTGCATCAAAATTCATGTCGCGCAGCCCTGCCAAGGCGTTTCGCAGCAAGAGCGCTTCCAAAGATAACATAAATATATAAAAATGCAACAAACGCAGCTTTCGCTCGAGACATCCGCCGATTTCTGAAAACGAACCACCCCTCCAAAAGTCACGATGACCACCACCACGTCCAAAGTAATTATCGCGAAATCTGCCCATCGAATCAAGTAAAGCCGCTCCAACCTCCTGGGCCACCCACGAAGACGGACCACCAAAGCACGAAGTTTTCAGCGCGCCTACCACGAAAAGTGACCACCAAACCCAGACATGATCCTTGCGCGGGCCCACCGATTTCTGCGATCCTGCGCAGGCTGCGCAATCGAAAAGCGCAGTCAAAAAAATATAAGATCTCGAGGTGAATGAGTGTACTGTAAATAGCAGTGAGTTTGCCGCCCGCACTGATGAGTTCCTCCGATCAGATACCCGGTGTTAACCACTACCGCAAGAACCCCTAGTGCGGCCACACTGTTTGGACGAAGACAATTTTTTAATCTATTCAAGAATGGCTATAGTTGTATAAGCATTGTTGTATACATGGCTGACCACAACACCACATCAAATAACGTTCTCCATATCAAGGATGCAGACGTGTACTAGACAATAACTTCTTGAAATGTGCAGGCTAACTGGGTCTGGCAAGGTAGCTTACCTGTTTCGCAACTAATTGATGATTTTATGTTCACTCTTCCAGGTCCGCTTTGTTGCGGGCGACCTCTACAACCACTGCGGAGGACCGATTGCGATTATCCTTCAACCTCTCTTCAACCTCAAACGTTACCCGCAAGTAACGTCCGGACAGAATGCCACGGCACTTGATGTGTTTTTAAGATGAACAAATGATGCTGCTGTTGAAACGACACTAACATTGGACGGCTCTATGGAAATGCTATTCTTCCAAAGGTTAAGTCTTCAACATTTCGCCGCTGATATACAGATATACATCAGCAACTACTGTGCCAGTAATAGCGAGTAGTACATCACTTTTGATGGCATTGAGAACATTTTCCTGACTCTTGACCCCCTGATAAAAATAATTAACAACCTGTTGCTGCTTGATTTTCATTCTCGCTAATCAGTCTATATATCATTGATTCTACGTCTTTAGTGATGAACAATGCGTGATGAAATGTCATGCCAGGGAATACTGCTTGACTCGAACCATCCCTTGGTGATATAGCTTCGCGGTGTCCCTTTAATTTCCACCATCTGGAAAGGAGCTTGCTCCTCATGGTTGCGCACTGTAGTCACATTCTATATATAGATCAAACGAATCGTTTGCTCTTGCTCGATAGCCATGGCATAGAACCCGAACACAGTACAAGTATGCAATCTAATCAATCCATTCAAATCAGTCCTTTTTGGCAGTCCCTGTTTGACCACAAAATTGGATCGTAGGCTGGACCCCAGTCCCTGCAAGCGCTTTTGCATGTGCCACACAAAGAGAAGGTTTTGTCGTTTTTGAAACAACCCAATGTTGCGAGGTTTTGAATTGTTCCTCCATGTGACAAGGTTGGGTAGATGCCTTGTTTTTTACTACTTACTGTAATGCTTTTCAGCTGGGAATTTACTGTACTAGTCACTAGTCACTAGCTAGTCGGTGAGGCTTGGCTTGCATTTCTGATACTCAGCTATTGTGAGGACTCGCGGCGGCCGAGGTCTGCGCCTTGGAGTCACAGCAAGCAGCTCTAGATTCCATGGAACATCTGAAACACCAAATGCTTACTGTACTCATGTTTTCAAAGTACTTCGATGATTTTGTATGCTTGTTGGAAGAGCGTCAGATTCAATGCTGAACGCGTGACTTTTGTTCATTCATTCAAGCGCACTCGGACTCGGCAATACTTGATCTTTTAATATCATAAACAAGGGCATCGCCACCAGTAACAAAATTAACAAGGGCATTGTTAGAAGCTTCCATTCCGTCCATTCCATTGCTCCTAGGGACACGCCTCCTTCAGGCTCGGGTGTATTTCTTGAGTGGACATGCACCCCAATTCAATGGACCCTTGGCCGCTGCAAGGGTAGCATTCAAATATCCATGATCAGGCGCACTTTTTAAGGCTCTCTAGAGTTTAGACAAAAGCTGCATGTTCTAGCCACGTCTACAGTGTGACCAGAATAGGCTTTCTGGTGTAGGTCCTTCTTGGTTTGCATGTACTAATCATTACTAACCCTTGTTTTTACTGTAACTCGCTGCAATTATTTGTACAGGTGCAACGAGAACAAGTGAACGCGGTGGCCTCTACACTGGCAAAGGTTGGGAAATTGCTTGACCTTTTGATCTTTTTGTGATATATATATATATTATCTATAGCAAGAAACATCAATAAACTCATTGCAGGGAAAGGAAAGGTATTTGGTAGTAGTCCTGGCCTCGATGTTTCCCAGACTTGAACAACACCAGGCAAGATGTGCAAAATATCTGGCTTTGCAGACTGAATAAATGCCGTTGTTGTCGCAAGCTATTGCAGCTATTGGGTCTCTACATTATGAGCTTTGCGTTTTCTGTCATCAGTTTGTCCCTTTCGCCTTGCAAGTAGTGCAACATAATATACGTTGAAGTTGAACAGCCCTGTGCTACTGAAGTCCCAGTTTGGCTTCCGCAGTCTCCACATTCAAACGAAGATGAATCGCTTAAATTGTTGAAGCCCAGGTTCCGCTGATCCAGATGTTTCTGGGCTTATTAATATACTTATTTTGAGGGCAGACACCGCTGGCAAAGCGTCCTCCAAGAGGATTTAAGAGGATTTTGTTTGACACTTTCTCAAGATGTGTTTCAAGAAGAGATGGCAGCGGCAACTCTTGACATGCAACCAGCACATCAAGCAGCTGTGAGGTCTTTAAGATTCCGAAAAGTTCTGCGGTGCTGCAGAAAGATCCTGCCTTGTTCTCAGTTTTCCTGCTTGTTCAGCAATGCCATTTTAGGTGAGGACATGACCATTGAGCTTTCGGGGGGCAACGAGTTTAAGATGTCAAATGAGTTGTTGAATAGCTTGGACAGGGGAAGGCAAAGACCTTTCAAGAGGATTTAAGGCGTGGGAAGTTGGTTCAGATCTGGGCCGGGCTAAGGCGTACCATCCGATGTTGTTTCATGCTCGACATGTTTTCCCGTGTTTCGATGCATCGGTGGTGAGACGATATACTGTAGTTCTTTATATATATACTGTAGTAGTTTTCTGTCGTTGGCAACCATGCAAGGGACAAAGGTTTCTCCGCAATGTTTTTGCGTCAAGAACGACAACGTTGAAGCTTCAGCCATGGGCAAGAAGAGAAGTAGGTCATCCAGCTCTTCTGATTCTTCGTCCTCTTCAGAGGATAAAAAGAAAAAGGACAAGAAGAAGAAGAAGGAAAAGAGGGACAAAAAGAAGAAAAAGGAAAAGAAGAAGGACAAAGAAAAGAAGGAGAAAAAGGAAAAGACATTGCCCTTGGTGACACCAATGGTTCCCAGATTGAGTGCAGCAGAGGAGCGAGAGCGCCTTCTTCGGGCCAAAGCGCCCGTTGCAACACAAGAGGCCTCAGAAGCAGCCCGGTTCGATCAGGCTAAGGCACGTCTTGAAGCGTTGAGGGCACAGCAGCAAAAGCCTGAAAAAAGTGTGCCTTACTCGGTGCGAAAGCCAAACTGGTGAGAACTGGCTTGCTTGTACGTTGCTCAAAGCAATCACGAGAAGATCAACACCTTTGAGATCGAGACTGGAGTTCCACAGGGTTCGAACTGTAGATTTTGAAGGTCTTTGGCTGGATGAGATTGATTTGGCCAGACAAGTGGCGGACCGGTATCGACAGCGGAGAAATGCAGAGCACTCACAGCAGAGCAATCTTGTCAGGGTTTGCAACTTGTTTAGGGTGCTGCCTCACTTGTGTATTTTTCACCCAGTGATTGCTGCCTCAGCCCAGCAGCGCCTAGCGCCATTAGTGAGAAAAGGCTTTGATCATGGTGTGCACGTGGTTGTCACCATCATGAAACTTGTTCTGAGAATAACATAAGCAACCAGGGCATGATGAATACCTTCTGTCGTTGTAGGACGTTTGCGCGCAACTTCCACATGTCCGCCGAGCTGGTGGGCTTTGACTATGTCCAGCTGAAGCCAATAGGCAGTCCAGTTGGATTAGCTGTCAGTCAAACTTGAAGTATGTTCTCAAACAAAGAGCAAATTTTGACCTAAAAGCTGTTTTTTTTTAAACATTTTGCACATGCTTAAAGGCTTAAAGCTTTCAAATGCAAGTGCGATGGTAGGTTGCAAAGACTGTCCCAGGTTTTGTTCATCAAGAGACCAAACAAAAGGCTCGCACAGAGCCTGGATGCTCAGAGCAGTGCTTTGATGGATGATCCGTTCAACTTGTTTGGTCCAAATTGAGGACCCAGAGAAATTGGCCAAAACTGAACTGCCGACATAATCCATTGGCCACATTTGCAACTTTTTCTTCAATATTGTTTGATATTGTTTGTACATGTTTGTACTCAGCAGACGATAAGTCAGGATAAGTGGGGTTACCCGTTTTGACTCTATCACCGGCTGTCCACATTCTACTGATTGTGACAGAATCGAAACAGTGGAAACCGCCGTACCTGGGTTGCGCTGTGCTGCCCAAGGCTGCAGAGACTATTGCAGTATTATTTTCCGCTGCCAGAGCCTCAGAAGAGCAAGATCCATTCGTTGACGTGAGAGGAGCTCCAAAGGAGCAAGAACCGGCTAGTAGCTCCTGGCCTCCTGGCCATATTACTAGTAACAAGAAGCTACTAGGAACAAGGGCATCGCTAGTAGTAAGATAATTACTGGAAACAGACTGGCCCGACAATCATGCAAAATTGCCTACTGTACAACAAGATGTCTGAGCATTTGTTAGCTTGAGTTGTTTGGCAATGATTGATTGCACTGGTGTTCGAAGTGCTGTAGGCGCGAGACTTGCCTGCGAGTTCGCCCAGAGTCCAAACCCAAGAATCGCCGTGCTACTGTGCTGCGGAAGCGACCAAAATATTACTGTACATGAATAGTGCGTGCTGCGTGAGCTATCCTGCGTCCAGTAGGTAGTAGCTAACTAGTAGCTAGTGGCTATCCAGTCATCCTCCTAGCCTAGCGGCCTTAAAAGAAAAGGCCTTTGCTGCAATTGCTCGTTGAGAGCTACAGGAGTGGTGCAGGCATCGACCTCGTGCCTTCAGAGCAAGGTTTTTTGGTCGAGAATGTTGAGGACGGTTATGTACAGCTTGGGACAAGACATGTGAAGCGTTGTGAGACTGTTGAGCGTACTTTTACGCTTGGTTGAGACGTGAGAGATGTGCCCATGGTGGTCACTGTGGTCTGTGTATATAAATTTGTATTTTTTCGTTAAGCCATTATTTTCCTCTAGGACTTTCCTGGCCAAGACCTTTGTGTTGGCGATGTGGAGCGCTCAAGTGTAGTGAGACAAAGGGAAGCACAGTCTTAGTTTCTAGCTGCTAGTTGCATCTAGTTGCTACTTAGAATTGACAAGCGTTCTTTAATGGTTTCCTGGGGTGCTCTATCAAAGCCAGCTGACATTGCCATGACCCTGGACGATCGTGACAAGCGACCACTTGTCAAGGTTTCTAGCTGGCCTTTTGCTATGTCTCGTGTTTTGTGAAAGAGCTTGATTTGTGCCCTGGGGCCCTGAGGTGATACTGCAAATTGACGGGCACAATTTGTGGGGCCTCTCTGATGAAGCCATGGCTGCTGACTTAGTGTCAGAGAGAGAGAGAGAGAGTTGCGGAAATTACAAAACGGCAGAATGGATTGTATTCTAGAAATGTGTTGTCATCGAGCAGCTGTGTTTTTTGCTGCAAAAAAGGATAAACAAAGCACTCAATTTGTCACCTTACACTCTAGATTGGCAGCTTGGTCGCATTTATATAGGGCATCCGCATGCGTTAAGTTTTGCAATGAACCAAATGCAAAAACATTGGCAGGAACAGACGTTTGGGAAGCACTTCAGAGATGGTGCGCACGCCGCACGCAGTTGTTTTGGTTGCTGGTGTGTTGCTTCAATTATTGAGAGCCGCCATCGCCATGCTGCTGATATATATATATATATGTCATATATACTATATATATACACACATAGCATCACATATCAAAACACAAAAAAATGATGCCTCGTGTGGATTTATATTTCTTGAAATGAACCGGCAGGTAGTTGCTGAGAGCATTTCCATGTCCAGGTGCCAAGCTGACCGTCAAGCCAGTGGAAAAGGTGTAGCACAAGGCGGGGCGGAACACACTGACAACGGAGCATAATGGAGCTATTGAATTGAATATGAAAGTTCACTGGCATTAATGGCCATGCAAAGGACGCTACTAGGAGCAAAGGGCATCGCTACTAGGAGCAAGGACGCTACTAGGGGCTCCTGGCCGTACGACTAGGAACAAGAAGCTACTAGAAACAAGAAGCTATATCGAACATTGGAAGTGTTGGATGTTTGATGACAGCACACTTTCTTGTAAGCGACGTGCACCATGACAAATCCAACCTGAATGTGTGTGTTGTGTGTGTTGTGTGTGTGTGTCCACCCCTGGACAAAGGGTTTTCCACCGCCACTTCCTTCACAGATTTTCCACCAACTTTCCCATGCAGGGGGCATGGCAGCTGTTTCCCTAGCCATGCCAACGAAGCTACGGGATTCAGCCGGAAGGGAATGTGGACGCACATTCCTGTACCTGCAAGAAGAACTGTTTCTCAAGCTGTCCAATTTGGTCGGTTTGCTTTCATGGTCCTTCATGCTACTCCCCACAAACAGGTTTCCCACCGCTCTGCAGCCACTGGACGTCGCTTCCACTTGCAAGCTGTCGGAAACATTGTTCAACAATACTTTTCAGCAGACTTTGCCACCTTGCCGTTCCATCGCCATCCTTCCCATCGTGGAAATTGAGTCACTGAATACAAGTGTCAGAGTGTGTTTCGCTCAGCCGTCCCACTCGGGTGCTGAGTGTGATCCCCGTCACAGGGGCGCCGCTTTTTGCATCGGAATTCAACAACCCCAACGTTCCACTTCCACTGGACCTTCACCGGAAGTCATGGCCACCCCCATAGAATCAACTGATGCCTTGGCCGCCGGGCCCAAAAACGGCATCACTTCAACAGCCGCCGGGCTATAAAACGGTGCTTACCCCCAATGAGGCAGGTTCCCCAGGCCCCCCCCCCGCTGTGTTCTACTCCCTACCTACTTAGGGCAACATAGGGAAATGGTACTCGACACACTTGTGTGTCGGTGCCTTTCCCTGTGTTGTTCCTGCTCTAGTCTATCCTACCCGGGCGGTCTAAGACTAAAGTCCCGCTCCCTAACTAGTGCACCTAATTCACCTCGTCTAAGTATTCAGTAACTTTAGAGTGCTAGGTATTCAAACACACACACGTACACACACATGGACATACACCCCCCCCTGCCCCCCGCTTTCCTTCTTGCGTTTTTCGTCGTTTGTTGGGCTTTCTTTCAGGCTTTTTAGGTTGTTCTTGAGGTTCGTTTCCCTACCCCAGTCAAGGGCTAAGTATTCACCTTTCATTTTTCTACACCTATCTTTCTTTCTTCCCCTCTTAGCGCTGCTCTTTCTGTCTTTCTTTCCTTTTGTTTCTAAGGCTTTTTAGGTGACTATTTAGGTTCTCCACATGCGCGCCGCGAAGCGGCACCGTATGTGTGCCACCGTTCTTTGCAAAAGCGCCGAAGCCGGCGATTTGTGTGTTGTGTGTGTGTCCACCCCTGGACAAAGGGTTTTCCACCGCCACTTCCTTCACAGATTTTCCACCAACTTTCCCATGCAGGGGGCATGGCAGCTGTTTCCCTAGCCATGCCAACGAAGCTACGGGATTCAGCCGGAAGGGAATGTGGACGCACATTCCTGTACCTGCAAGAAGAACTGTTTCTCAAGCTGTCCAATTTGGTCGGTTTGCTTTCATGGTCCTTCATGCTACTCCCCACAAACAGGTTTCCCACCGCTCTGCAGCCACTGGACGCCGCTTCCACTTGCAAGCTGTCGGAAACATTGTTCAACAATACTTTTCAGCAGACTTTGCCACCTTGCCGTTCCGGAAGCACCAAAGGACGCTTTGGTGTGTACCTGCCACAACTTTTGCAAAAGCTGTCCAATCCGCCTTGTTTGATTCATGGTGGTTGCATGTTTCCTCCCATAAACCTTTTCCACGCAGCTGAGCTCGTCACCGCATCACCTGTACAGATCGATTTTGCGACCACTTGGAAACAATTTTCAACAATACATTTGCGCCGACTTTTCCACCTTGCGGTTCTTCGCCTTTCTTCCCATCGTGGTAACTGAGTTAACTGAATACAATTGTCAGAGTGTGTTTCGCTCAGCCGTCCCACTCGGGTGCTGAGTGTGATCCCCGTCATTGGGGCGCTGTCTCATCGTGCAAGCACTAACTGACCTTGCCACTTTCCACAGGAATCCCACAGGAAGTCACCTACACAACCACCGAATTAACTGCCACCACGGCCGCCGGGCCTCACCACGGGAACTGACGGTTTCAGACTGTACCGTTTTTGCAAGGTTTTTCTGCATTTTTCTGCATGTTTCTGCATATGCGCTCAAGCAATCCGACCTGACTTTCCAACAGTTTATTAATTCGATGTGCATGAACACACCATCACATACCACACTCCACATGAAGACAACTCACACAGCTCAACAACCATACACACCCACCATCAGCAAAAGCATTACGATCTCTAACTCGCATGATCTCAACACTTGCAGTCTCCGCTGCCGCGCCGCGCCGTCGCTGCCGCCATTTTGAAGACTTTGCCGCACAGCTGTGACGACCTTTCACCAACCTTTTACTGGACGCCTCATGCAGTACCCCTGGCCATATTCACAAGCCACACCACCTCCACTACCCATCGCACCAACACAACCAACACAACCGACAGCACCTTTGCCACAGCCACATACCACACCAGCATTTCCTTACCCACAACATCAACCATACCCGGTACCACAACATCAGACATTCCCAGCTCCACAACCTATGTCGATTCCAACTTCACTTCCTTTTCAC